GGCTGCCAGTGACTGGAACCAAGGTCCAGACCTTCCTCTTAGCTGTGCAACTTTCAGCAAGAGTTTGACCTCTTTGAGCCTCGCTGTTTTTAATCTATAAAATGGGAATATAAATAGATATTATTTGCTAAGGTTATGAGGTTTAAATGAAGAAATTGAATATTGGGAACAAATCACAGCATCTGACTTCATAGAAATTTCTGTTTCTTCACTCAGGAAAAGTGTCAGGTTAGACTATGGGTAATCCATCACTTCCCATCAAACCTATAATTTGAAGATTGACTAAATCATTTGCTTTTGAACCAGCTATTGAGAATTATCCAACTAGTCTAGGTTAAGAAAAGTTTCTGCCCTTTTATAAACATGATGCATTTTAAACAAGTGTGTGTCTTGGGGGCCAAACTATGTAATAAGGTTAATGAGAAAAGAAGCAACAGAAATCTGTTTTCATCACTGTTAAGAACTTAAATCACAGCACAGGGGGAAACAGCTGCTCTGAAAGGCAGCCTAGAAGCAGATCAGTCGAAGCTGATTACCTATTAATGAGCAGGTTTTAGCAGTGAGCCCTGGTGGAAAACCCACCAGCCTCTATTCAGCAAGCCTTCCACTGAGGTGGTGGTGTATACGAATCCCTTGATTGATGTAGAAAATTCAAAATAAATCCTTCCCCAGCACTCTGAGGGCTGTCATACATCACTGCTCCCTTATTTGTTTATGGTAAGGAAACAGGATCCTTCAGTAAGTAAACACGTGTAATATTTAATTAAACTCGTGGCTGGACACCATGTGTGGTGCTGGTCCTCACTTGGCAAAACCTGGACAGTGCATCCTGCCTCGTCTCTCATTCTCCTTCTCCCGGACCTTCCGCCTCAAAATGGGAGGAGTCCACGCTATGTGGATTTTACGGCAAGTGCTTCGGTGTCTTTAATAAAGCCCATTTTCTTTATATAAGGATATTGGGGCCGAGAGCTTAAGTCACTTGTTCAATGGAGAACTGTGATTTAAACCTAAGTTAAGGTAACCCCATAGCCTATACTCATAACTGCTTCTGCAATATAACATTAAGCATTTTTAGTAAAATTTAAACATGATGTATGGTAGTGGTTCTCAAAGTTTGTCCCCAGTGTAGTGACATCAGCATCGCCTGGGAACTCGTTAGCCCTGTATATGCTCAGGCACTGCCACAGACCCATCAGAAGCATTAGGGTCCAGCTGCCTTCCAAGTGATTTCAGGTGGATGCTAAGAACCTGATTCAGGTAGTACGTCGGGTCTATGATAGGCATTAAGGATTTAAAAAGTAAAAAGAGTCTTTGACCTTAGGAAGTTCAGAGTCAAGCAGAGGGGATACAAAGCCCACTTTCTTTATATAAGAGTATTTTAAGTGCAGTGAGGAAGGACACCTAGGAAATTTGGAAAGTGCCTGTAAAGGTGACTCACCTGGATGGGGCAGGAAAAACTTACTGGAAAATGTGGTGCTGGGACTGAGTCTTAAAGCATGAGAGGCTCTGGCCAGAGTGACAGGAGAGCGTGTTCCAGGTGAGGGGCCACATGAGCAGCAAGTGAAATGACGGATGAGTGCTGTCTGCGGAATGGCAGCTACTCGGGGTGTGGAGCGTGGCTTGTGATGAGGGACACAGTGGTGGTGCCTGCCTGGACAGGGAGCCGCCCTTCATTGCTCTGCACTTTGACCCCCACCTGCTGAAGCACAGGAGTCTGACGTCTTAAATCCCTGGTTTGATGATTTTAAAGCCATTTGTCAATTTATGACATTTATGACTGCCCTGTGGTCCCGCATAAGGGATTCCATATATAACAAAGGCTTGTTCTTCATGAGCTATTGGGCACCCAGTAATTCTTGCCTCCTCCTTCTCATGAAGCCCTCACACCACTGACATCTGCTAGTAGATATCAAGCTGTCTGCCAGATAAAGTGTTTGACAAAGGCTCAGCAGGTAGGGATGTCACTCATACTTTACATCATGAATTCTAACTCAATTTTTTGTTTCCCCTGATAATCTATCCATGAATAATATCCTCACAGCCTAGGACTTTGGTCTACTTTCCAGATCAGTAATTTAGCATGGGCATGGGTCATATTTGAGCACTTAAAATCAAATAATGGTGCTACCCTCAACCTGGCAGTGTAAAGAATGTGGAATTGGGAATGGGAGACGTCAAGGTTTGAACCCCAATTCTGCACTTTCCATCTCTTTCCATTATACATATTTGAAGGTCTACTCATTTAATCTTGTGAAGCCTTGAGCCTTCTTCTTGGTGGTTGTTTTCCAAAGTTGCTACAATTTTTTAAATGTCTGAGAAGCTCCCCAGCAGCAGCCTTAGTTAGCCCTGAAGCCAGTGATTCCCAGGAGCTTGCTGAGGGGCTCACATAATGCTCACAGGGACACATTCATCTGGCTGCCACCCTCTCCATAAAAATAAAGCTTGACTTCCACTCTTCAGACCTCACAGATGCTCCTTTCATTGGTCCAGAACCGAATATGGAAGGTGATTCTGGGAAATGTGGTTGCTGCCTGTAGGAGGAATTGGTGGTGACATCCCTCAGCCACCATCCACCCTCAGCAGCCAAATGGTCTTCCTTAAGTTCCCACGGTGAACATTTCACAATCCTGCTTAAAATGGTTCAATGGCTTCTCATTTCTCTTAGGATAAACCCCAAACTCCTCCCCTGACCTGCAAGTCTTACTTGATCTTTGTCCTGGTACCCCTTCAATTGCATTCATTCCCACCTCCCCTTCTCTCATGACCCGCCAGCCAGATTGCCTTTCATCCTGCTTATTCCACAGGCTGCCTCAGAGTTCTTATCCTTACTCTTCTCTGTCTTGAATGTCTTTGTCTTTGATTTACCCTTGCCATTTGTCACTGCATCCTAACTACAGACGCCCACCCCCTGGCTGTCCCTCTCATTTCCTTCTGTGCAGGTTGCAACCTGCCCTTTTCTGTTTGTTTAGCTTTCGTCTGTCACACCCACTGGAAAGTGAACTCACTGAAAGCTGGTGCCATGCTGCCAATGATCTCTCTTGCTTCCTGTGCTGACCTAGTTATATCCTGGAATATATCACAGCCTCAAGTAATCACAGGCCGCAGATTCTTGAGTGCCCAACACCCTAAAGTCACTTAACAAAGGTACAAGAAAGGTAAGGGCTGGACCCACACAGTGCAACTGTTAAATGGTTTCGATAACTGCAGAGCCAAATATCCTAGTGCACTCTAAACATGAGAGCTTCCTGCTACTGATGTTCTGCAATTCTTCTCTCCCCTCACCTCTTGGGATAGCCAGAAATATCATTAATTTAATTAATTATAACTTAACCCTCACCTCCAAATTTGTCAAAATCTTGATCAGCACCCATTGGTTTTTTAACTTATTTTCTGTGTGCCCATAACTCTTTGTTGCTATTTTCAATATAAGAGTCATCACAGCCTACTCCACCCATTGATCCATGATTGAAACCACCTCTACATTAAGTTAGTTGAGATCAGGAATTATGTCCAGTTTATCTTATATTTCCAAAGGTGAGCATGTAGAAGACCCTCAAGAAACATTTTTTGAATTACGGAAGGGAACTTCTAGGTAACTCTCAATTATAGGATCCCAAAAAGAACTTAGCTATGCTACTTGTAGATCCACAAGAATGCCAACTTTCTCTCCTGATTAATGTTGTTTTCCAAACAGTCATCTCATCTTTCTATTTACCCCTTGCTGTTCTTTGGTTTTGTCCTCCACATTATGCAGAGTGCATGCAGCTAGTTCTCAGTGAATCCTCATGAATAGAACAGACCTGCCTGGCATCCGGCTTTCTAGTCATCTTTCTGCAAATTTGATTTGCTTTATCACAATCAAATACTGCTATGAACATGTCATTCACATGTCCCTCCAAAGTCACTAATTGGCAGATAAATCAAGCTGAATTTTGTTAGAGTCTGTAAACAAGTCAAAATAACACCTGGCATTTTGCCAGGGGAATGTTAGAGTTCATAAACAAGTCTGGATGGTGCCTGGCAAAATGCCAGAGGGAGTGGTTTGAGAAGTAACAAAAGCGAGCCATTAAGTGTGGAGATTCCTTATTGGTTGACTGATGTATCTAGTTTATGCTAACTAGATAAGCTGTGTGGAATGTATAAATACTGCTCCTGTCCTACAATAAACGGCTCCTACTCCTGCTGTATCAACGTACACAAGTTCTTCGTCATCCCCCAGTTATTTTGCCCAGCCAGCCGGGCTCCGGCAGAATTTTCCATTAAATATGATTTAATTTGTGTCAGTATTCATGTTTGCATTTAACATAGGAAAACAGGTAAAACTGTTTGCCTCTGTTAAATGCAAACATGAATACTGCCACAAATTAAAGCATTAGCATCTACTTTTTTTAATTTAAAATAAATAAGAACTTGCTCAACTTAGAGCAGAAGCAGTTTTTACATTTTTAAGATAATAGTTTATATGCCTTGATGTTGTCTTAAGTACCAGAGGTTAAAAGTAGAAAATAAACCAATAATATCTACCAACTATCATAAAACTATCATTTGCCAGACAACTTGCAAAAAATTTTCTAAGCCTTGCCATTTTGAATGGCAAGAGATTTCCTCTGTATTTCACATTAGAAGAGTTTTCTTCTGATAGTCACAGAAATAATAGCTTTTCTTCTAGTAGTCACAGCATCTTCATTAAGGTGGGTACAATGACTTTAGGGTGTTGGGCACTAAATAATCTGTGCCTGTGATTTCTTGAAGCTGTGATATATTCCAAGAGGATATAACTAGGTCAGGACAGGAAGCAAGAGAAAACTAGAAGAACATTTCTTCTAGTAGTTATAGAAAGAATTAAACTATAGCTTAATTCTTTGTCTGACTTTAAAACCCATTTTCTTCCCCATTTTTGTAGCATTCCAGACCTTACTTAGTCTTAAAATGGAATGTGTTTTTTATTTAATTATTTTTCTGACTAATATGCCTTAATTGTACATATCATCCTTAGTTGAAGGCAGGAATGATCATCAACCCACAGTGGGCTATCCATACGTGAGTGAGCCCAACCAAGAAGAACAGAGCATCTCAACTGAGCCCAGCCAAGGTGAACCAAACCTCAGCAGGTTACGCACAGGTAATGAGCCCAGCCAAGACCAGCAGATCAGACTAACTGAGCCCAGCTTGCATCAGCCAAGCCCTCATTGATCCACACACTCAAGAAAAATAGTAAGTGGTTGTCTAGGGCGTTTTTTTTTTTTTTTTTCTCACAGTAATAGCTAATTGATGCAACCATCTAATTAGTTCTGTATGTCTGCTTAGTAATAATGTTTACAACCATTTACTATGTCCCTACCATGTAAGAGACATAGTGCTAAACACTTTGTATTCATCATCCCAGATCTTTGTCAAAACCTGTGAGGATTCCACACATGGAAAAAAATGAAGCAAATAGAGATGAAATAAGTTAAGTTCACATAATTTGTGAATGGCAGAGCTGGGATTCCAAGCTAAGTCTCTCTTGATCCAAAGTTGTTCTTTTTCTTTGATACCATGTTTACTTCATTCATAATCTAGGACTCAGAAAATAATCAGGTATGTGAATGTAACTGTCAGTTAACCTCTGCTCCATTTTTTTTTCAACTGAAAACCAAAGGGTCCTAACTACAGTTTTGTTTTGTTTTTGCCTCCTACAATCAATAGTTCCATATTCCTAGCTATTTGAGGCAAGTTTGACTTAAAATGTGCATACAATTTAATGGTGATGATGGCAATGATGATGGTGATGATGATATCGAGACTCAATATCAAACAGATGAAAGAGGGACATATTGCCAACAACCAGAGCTAAGATGTTGCTGCAAGTGAACGTGGAATTCAGCTCTGGAATATCAAGGTAAGATGGCAGAGCTAATTAGGGTCACACATTTTTTTTTTCTTAACTGACACACTGAATAATAAATTTTGAGTAACATAACTATAAGATCAAGTATCAGCAAAAATATCCACAGTGGTACATAAACAAAAATCTATGTTGTTAGGCCCACAAAAAGCACTGAATATTCTTGTCAGCTTCTACTCTTGATCCTAGTACAAAGAAAAAAGTCAAAACTGTTGGAAGTTTTATATATAACTGAGGTTATTAATAGATCCAGGTGTGTTCGCTTTCTGTTGCTATAGAAAAATACCTGAGATAAAAAAAACTGATAAAGAGAAAAGGTTTTTTTTTGACTTACAAGTTTGCATTTCCAGTCCATGATCAGTTGATCCACTCTTTTAGGCTTCTGGCAGGGGAGAACTGCATCATGGAAGGAGCAAGTGGTAGAATAGACCACTCAAATCGTGGCAAGGAATTGGAAGAGGAAAAGGAATAGGAAGACACTTGAGTCCAATTATCCCCTTACAGGGAATGTCCCCAGTGACCTCAATATCTACCTCTGGACCCTACCTCCTAGGTTCCCTGCTTCTCAATAATGCCCCCTTGGGGACCAAGCCTTTAAATACATGGGCTTTGGGGGGGGGACATTCAACATTCAAACTATAGCAAAAGGACATGAAATTTTTCAAATCCCTAGGATTAAAAAGAAATTTTTACTTATGTTTGAAAATATCAAAAACTCAGCAGAAGTGTACAATGTTTGCATTCTCTCTCTCTTTCTACACACACACACACACACACACACACACACACACACACTCACACACACACCCCCACACACACACTGCATTGGCTTCTACAGTGATTTCCCAGAGATCCATTTTACACTGAGACAATGAGCAACACTTAAGCTTATCCACTCCTGTATAAAAGACACATACTTTTAGCTTTGGGATATAAAATGGTGATACAGGGCATTTAAAAATTATTTCAGAAGAGAAAGTACCATTTCATCAAGGATGCTGTTCCCAAGTCCTCTCCCTCCCATGGAATGACCTGGCCTTAGAACATATCTGTGAGAGGAAAATAGATTCCAGATAGTTTAGGGACTCAGTGGGAGGCTGGGGCTGACCATAAGAGACTTGGAGGAAAATGATCAACCAAGTGACATGAACTTTAGTGCTATAGATAAATACACACCCAAATGAACACCTAAGAAATGACCTTGGTATGAAAAAGACAGATGAATTCAGTCTGGCAATAAATATAAACTAAGGGAAGGAAGAACTACCTAAATCTATAGATATCACATACACATAATCTCTCTCTCTCACTCTCTCTCACACACACAATATGACAATATTATGGGTTTTATAATATGGAGTTAATAATTAGGAGTTCAAAGATGAGACAATTATATGACAGAGGATAAGCAACAAAGCAATGCCATTATGGAAATAAAATACAAATTAGAAAAAAATAAGATATAGCAGAGAATTGAAATCAGTGGCCAAAAGCTTTGAGATATCATGTTGATTGTCAATTAAAAAAAGGGACAGTTTCCTGGAGATTTGACAATAGATAGGGCAGACAAAGACATGGAACTCTAGAATAATTTGTGTACTTGAAATAGAGAATTTGAAATAAAGGAAGAATTGAATATTCAGAACAAAATAGTACAATATGTTCCCAGAAAATAATGACTTATGTGAGACAGACCTGCTAGGCATTCAGACATAAAGAGAGAGCTGCTGATAATGAGGTGAATCTGATTTACCTCAAAGTTCTCTGTAGCGCCAATCAGTGCAGGAAGACAACAGAGATGTTCATACGACTCTAAAGGAAAAGGAAACATCAAATAGTACATTGCATACAGAGCAGCAGGCAGATATTCTCAAACACAAGCCCTTCTTATCAGAGGAATTGCTGGAACCCTGTCTACCAAGGAAACATTGTGTTCACTCAGGGATTCAAGAGATACATCTGGATGACCTATATTATTTTAAAATTAGCTTTGATGGCATTCATTGTATTGTTATTATTATTAGTAGTAGTAGTAGTAGTAGTATCTTCACAGTTCAGCACCCTGTGACTTAGACCCATGGTTTGTGACTTTATTGGTAAACTCTGATCAGTCCATTTCCAGGTCCTAGCCAGGAATCTGGGCCCTCTTTCCTGTTCTAGAAACCCCATTTTCTTGGTGAATTCCACACAGCACTGAAGACCACTCAGCCCTGGCATTTCACCATTCACTAATGCCAGTGCTAACTGCTGTCCCATGGAGGGGTCCCTGTGTTTCCAAGGTAACCACCTCTGACCTCTCTTCTGTGCATGCTGGGTGGTGGGGAACATGCCCACCTCCCATATGGAGGCTGTAAGCTCCCTGAAGATGGAGATTGACTCACAGGTCTTGGGTTTTTACCACATATCCCAGATCTGGCCCATGGTAAGAGTGCTAGAGTCTTGCATTCACCTCCCCAAGCCCACTCCCCTGCTTATCTACTCTGCATTGTTCTCTAAGAAACTGGCCTGTGAGGGTGGTGTCAGGGGAATCCCTTGCCCTGTGGTTCACACTTGATTCAACAAATGAGAAGCACAAACAAGAGAGAGAGAGGGATAAGGTGAGGTTGGGATGTTTTTCCATTGGCTGTGGGTTGACTCTGTCCCTATGCTTAGGGACACAGATACCCTCTTGGAGTTGCAGGTACCAGTCTCTCCCCGTGTCTTTTCAGCCCTAGGAGTGGTAAAGGCTCCTGTTTCCAGCCCCAGGCAGGACACAATCCCCTGTCGGTTTCCATTGGCCACAAATTTATTAAATAAAATTTTTGAACTCTTTCCCTCTAGTCTCTGACTACAGGAAGGTAGAATGTAATCAATTGGCTTTAATACAGGTTATTGAGTAGATGGTAAAAATGGGATTGAATTTATGGGTACTTGCCATGAATAGTACTGAGTGTCTCTGATTTGCTGTCATTGTCGTGTGTGAGTGTGCCTGGCAGCTCATATGGGCACAAGGTGACAACAGGAGAGGGATAGGGTTGTCCGCTTGGGCAAAGAATAAGAAGGGTCAATCAGAATCCTGAGTTCAGCCAGCACCCAGGTACTGCAGGTGAGATCAAATTTGCTTGAGATAATAACGGGAGAGAGAAGGCGTGGACAGGTGACCACACGTGACATGTGGAAGGCCAGAGGCAGAAGTAACCAAGGGTAGAGCAGGTGAGGAAAGGACGGAAGGGCTTGGATGGGACCCAGAGAAGAAAGAGGTGGATCCACATTTAGGCAGAGAATGAGAATTGATAGTGCGGGCCTCAAAAATGTGGGTCTCTCTTCATCTTGTCACGTGTGACTTATTGAGACATGTGTATGAGTGTGTCTGAGCAAATTTACCAGTACTTGCACACATTTTTCATCACAATCATCACAAAACCCCTATATGGATATTTGCTCTGTCTGTGTCTCTCGCTCTCTGTGTGTGTGTGTGTCTCTCTCTCTCTCTCTCACACACACACACACACACACACACACACACGAGTGCGTGACTCTACCCTAGAAGTTAATAGTTGGCACACACCTCTTAGAGTAACTGTAGAGACAATAGCTATGGAGTTTGTGGAATTCTCTGCTAGAAATTCTTTTCATGTTTGTTTCATACAAAATCAAATACATTGTGCTTCATTTCTATGCTGACCAATGTCTCTGCCATCATGATCTGTTTTGCTTCCTGCCTCTCCATCAACCTGCTGTGGCTCCGGGAAGGGCCTTCTGTGTCCGCTCCCCTTTCCCACCGTTGTCCAGGGGCTGCGTGAGGCAGAGCTGACAAGGTTATGGCACTTCCTGTCATTTCTTCATTTAGGGCTTCTTTGTCATGCATGTCACCCTTCCACTTTTGAAGACCTTCTCAGAGTCGTTCTCCTCGGGCTCCATTGTAATGTCGCTCCTGATTGAACTATTTAAATAAATTCCCTTTTTAAGCTTGCTTTTTACCAAAATCACTCTTAATAACTGCTATTATCCTTTATAATTACAATCATCACTGGCTCAGAATAGCTCACAACATTAGCTTTCAGTCCAATAAACCCTGGCAACTCTATTTGGTGCAAGGTCTAGGTTGTTAGTAAGAAAATAGCTCTAAAGGCCAAAGTAGTAAAGTGGAAGGTTCAAAGCAACCCCATGCAGCTCTTGAGATTGGAAAGTACTATTCAAAACTCTTCTACAGTCTGTGAAGTGAGAGTACCTGCAATTAAATTCTGTCTCTGCTACCTACAGGCTTATGTCCTTAAGCAAGCTAGTTCACATTCCTATTCTTCTGTATCCCCATCTGTAAACTGGGTATAATAAAGCAACCATCCCCCAGAAATGTTTCTGTTGTCCCCATTCTGATTCATCTGTACCTAAGTTCTACCATTTGTTAAATATTTTGAATACCGCCCCTGCCACATAAGCACAAAATAACTATGATATCATTTGCATGAAAAGATTATACAGATAATCAATGTGAAGTTCTTATCACCATATAAGGCACCTAGATCTACATGGTAATGGTGGTTGCTATTATAATTATTTTTTGTTTCTGTTACTAATTCTCCAAAGTCAGATATATTTCATGCAGGTCACAGATAGGTTATCTGATGAAATCCTTATGTGAACTATTAAATTTGTGATTGTAATTCTATTTTATAGAAAAGTAAGATTTGTAGTGGTTGAATGAATTGGTGATGTCACAGAGCTCGCAAGGGGCAGAGATGGGATTTAAACCTTGACCTGGTTCTTGTATCTTTTAATTGCATTGCATTACTTTGGACGATAGAATGCCTTTATAAGACCTGATATTCACAATGGTAACAGTTATGGGTACCAACAATGGGATTATAACGCCCTGGGCAATTACAGTGGATATTTTCAGTGTTTCGTTTTAATTAAAAAGTCATATCTTAAATGCCATAGGTTCAAATCTAGCTGTAAAAGGGAGAACCAATTGTCCTACAGCACAGAAAAGAGTAAAGCACAGAAAGACTAAAGTAAACAAACCTTCGACCTTCTCTTTTTTAGGGGATGCCATTGATGCGGTGGTGTGTCATCCAAATATTCCCTTCAGAATCAAAGTGCCCATTCCCCCGACTACTAGGAATGCAAGACTGCTAACCTCTCTCAGCTCAGCCTCCCTCTGAGCACTTCCGTCAGCTGAAGAGAACCAGTGTGTCCACGGTCAGCCTCCTTCCTTTGTATAGCCCACTCCCAAGGACTGGTTAATATGGAGTATTATATTTTATAGTAGAGAAAAGTATATCCCACACCCAAGGCCTGGTTAATATGGAGTATGAGGACAATTATTCTTTGGGCAGGAGGAGGGGCCACAAGCTGCTGAGTTCTGTAAAAAATCAGTCGAGTACTGTGTTCTGACTGGACCTCTTACGTCTTGCCTCTCTGCTTGGTCCTGCTGTTCACCTTAAAGCACTGCATTGTGTATTTCCTATACACAAATCAGTGACTCGCTGTCTATTTCCCAGGAAACCTGAATTGCAGTATGGGATGAGACATACATCTCTGCCCTGGCAGCCCCCTCAGTTAATTTCCATATTTCTAAGCAGTTTCCAGAGATTTGTCCAACACTGATTATAGAATCAGTAAATATATTAAGACGTAATAAATAGCAGGATTACTTTCATATGCATCAGAATGGAAATATTTTATTGATTTTTCAAGGGGGCAATTTAGCAGTTGTTGGAGGATGTCTCGGTGGTCTAGGCTGAGATCCAGGTCTGAATGAGCATATCCCATTAACATCGTTTCATCTCCAGAGTCCTGAACGCTCAGGACAGCATGCAGACAACTGAATACTGCCAAATGGTGAAGCATTAGGCCTCTGCTAGGTGTTGAAGATGCTCCTCCATTTTTTAATGTCTAAAAAGCTCCTTGGAAGATGCCCTTTGGAGTTGAGCTACTGCGGCCACAGGCTTGTCCTCCAGTCACCACAGCAGTAAGAGGATGTTCTTCAAACACCTCTGGGTATGGGAGGGGATCTCACGGCACACCATTGCACTTCTTAGGGGACGAGGCATGTGACGGGTAAAGCACAGCCGTCTCAGGGGTTTGAAAATTAGATGATACGTCCACATTGATGCTACATTTCTAAACAAATCCTTTCACTTTCAGTCATAAACAACCCATTCCAAACATGGCCCACCAGGCCATCCCTGTAAGCTTCCCCCTACCTTCTTCCTGCCTGGAACTTTTTTGAGTACTTCAAGCCATAGATGAAATGCAACGCAAAATACCATCCAGCCAGAACAATGAATCCTCTAAGGGATCTAAATAAATCTAAACTTTTGGGGGAAGAATAAATTCCCATGTATGTTCATATACTTAATGGATAGGAATGTCACATTTAAAATTCTAACCTAAGGAAATAATATAAAATGTAGACACAAAATTTTTCAATACAAAATGAATCATATCTGTTTTTCATGACTATGACATCACAATTCTTTCAAACAGTGCTTGGAACATGGCAAACATTTGATAAGTGAATTATCAAAAGTGAATAAAATAGTTAGAAAGACATTTTTAATATGTAAATAAGGCTTGCATAGAAGGCGAATACTATTTTATTTTGTTTGGAAGAATTAAAGTTGCCGAAATCCTTACCAATTTATAGCATTCCTACTTTCCACACAACATACCAAAGGAGGAATAAAATCATGGTTTTCTTCTTGAGAAAAGGAAGAGTTTTTGTCCTGCCATAGATATCAAAATAAGTCCTTAAATACCTTTTAAATACCTTATGTGGTAATGCAGCGACTTCGACTTGGTGAGGGAGAAACTTTGGTCAGTGGGTTCCTCTCACAGTTGTATTGGCTGTGCTCTGTCAAATTCTCTTTTCTCACTAGTGAGCAGCCTGGCTAAGCATTATGATTATTAAAACAATCTATTTTCAGTCCCAACCACTCTAAACTTTGCTCTTTGACTATGACCCTCCATCTGCCCTTTAGCTGCCTTGCCAGTACACAGGGTTGGAACATCATAAGCTCCATAAACCTGTATTTTCCGTAGAAGTTCCAGCTGCTGCTAAGGAGATAAACTCACAATGAATGCACTGACCATCCAGGCTTAATGGCTACATTCTTAGTGACTCAGCACCATCATTTCTCCTGTGAATGAAGAAGCAGATTTGTCCTTTGAACATCTTTCTGAAATACTGTTTTCAACATGAACTCCATTTTAAAAGTCCATGTGTGAAGAGGATAAAAGGGGTGCCATTATATCATAAGCATTCGCCATGTCTCACCCACTTCTCCCAAAGGAGGGAGACAAATGGCTTGTGAGTTCAGTTCTGGGCTCTCCTTTATTTATATAAGAACCAGGACCGAAAGCAAAAGAGGCCAGAGTCAGGGATAGTGATGGTGAGCCTAGAGAGGAGGCTGTTATAGGCTGGGGAGAAGGAAGGATTTGGGGGGACACATTCAGTGGGATAAATAGAAGAGGTCTGAGACAACTGTGCAAATTGCAAAAAAAGAAAAAAAAGGAAGTGATGTGAGAAAAGGGAATTTTTTTAAAAAGTTTGCTGCTTCTGTGAATTCAACTAACCCCTTTGAAACTTCTTCCATTGATTTTTTTTTTTTTTGAGATGAACTACATTCATCTTTCAATTATTTTAAATCATTTTTAGTTGCTGGATTATTCGTTGATACATGACTTTATACAGTACGAGTGGCAAAGCAGTTGGGTTATGCCAGCTATGTGAGATCTTCCAGTTAGGAAACATGCTGTTCAAATGTTCTGGACAAGAAGAGTCTTGTGAATGCTCATGATGCCTTGATGTTGAAACAGTTTAACAACGATCTTTGAAAGGATGCTACAGAGTCTTTCCCAAAAGTTCTCCGCAATGAATACTACATTCATATTTGTTCAGTTCTAAGTGTTCCTCAATTTAATTCAGAAATCCTAGATTCATATTCTAGTTTTATTGGAGCTCATGTATGAATTTTGGGTATCTTTGAGCCATCACAAGGCAGGGGGTTGCTTTTCTGAGAAAAATCTGTTGTGAACCCACAGGTTGCAGATGGCTCAGATGAAAGCTGACATCCTCCCTTAGCTCACAGCCTAGGTTCAAAGGCAGCCCCCAGGGGTTTCCCCAACTTTATCCTGTTTTCCTCAAGAATCCTGCCACACTGAAAACTTTTGATTTATTTCCCCTGAAATAAAGAATCTGGGCCTTTTTCCTTGTTCAGTTCCAGTCCCTACCAGGGCTGGAAGACCCACCCGGCCCCTGCTTTGAAAACTATTTTCTGCCTGTTGTCTTTTGTTCCCTATTGATTATTTTCAGACTTTTTATTTTCCTAGCAGGTTCACACCTTCAAGTAGGAATCTGCTCTGCTGGGGTGCTGGTAACCCCAACATAGCTTTACTTTGCTAATTATGAAACCAAACTGTGCACCTCTTAAAGGCAGAAAGGTATATTATCTTATATAGAGAGAGAGCCAGGGGCTTGGCACATGGCTGTCTTTGGCACAGAGTAAACAATACGAGTGAACAGGTGAGTGTGGCTGAAATCATTTCTAAGAAATACTTCAGTTGTCCTCATAAAGAGCTGGATTAAAGTCCTTCTGGAATCATTATGAGTCAATTCTTGAATTTTTAAAATGACTTAAAACTTCAGGAGATGTGACTCTTCCTTCAGTGGACATATCAAGTGGACATCCCTGTATCCTCTGTCTGCCCTTGGGATGCTGTCTGGGATGCTGTCTTAAATAAGGACACATGTTTTCTGAGTTTGCTTGGATAAATGAAGAAAATGAAGCAATGAGAAAGATATAGAATGAAAGAAAATGGAAAATATGAAAACTTCTGGAATAATCAAGGGAAAATATATTCTAGCAACTCTTGGTTGGAGTAATCAATCAATATGTCCAAGAAGGCTGAATATGTATATATTTTTTTACATGTGGAAGCTATGTCTGGATGCTTTAGGTAAACTGCTGAAGAATGGTAAACTGACACTATATAGGCTTCCTTTATCTCCAGGTTTTCCCTCATCACCACAGTCACTTATAAATCCATTAGCCATGATGGACACTTGGTATTGTGTTCATATTGAAGAAGCTAGATGTGTTTACACAGTATGATGACAGCTAAACTGTTCTTTTTCCCAGCTGATCAAAGTGTCACCAGTTTTTCCTTTCTACTTTTTTTTCTTATAAAGAGAAGCGCATCATGAGCTTTGTGAAGACTTCCAATTTTATCCCAAAGGGGCTCCATAGCAATGTTCTTTCATCATTAATTGCTGGGTATTCTGAAATGTTTTTCCCCTCAAGTCGTAAGTCACCTGCTTCTGATGTTCTGTCTAATCTCTCTCAGATTCCTGTTCTCTGGAGATGAGTGTCATGGAAATACTTGATAGCAAAAATGCATGCATTTCTTAGCCTCCACTGACCCTGTTAGTCACAGAATCAATATCTATAAGGACTGTAGATGCCTTATCCAAAAAATGGATCTTTCTTCTCCATGTATTGTAATTATGGATGCTTTGAACTTTCCCTGATGTCATATCAAAGTCATCCTTGAAAAAGTATTACCCAAGTCAGGAGTTCATAAATCAACATTAGTCATAATAGAAAACATTTATTAAGTACTTAATACTGAACATTTATTCTCCTAAAAGCTTTTCTTATATCAATTTTTTTGATCCCTACCATAACCCCAGGAAGTCTATTCTCTTATTGTCCCTGCTTTATAAATGAGAAAAATTGGCCACAAAGAAGTTCAGGAATTTCTCAAGGTCTCACATACAGTCAACAGTAGATCAGGGAATTGGCACGTGGACATTAGCCTAACCACCCTGGCATGCTGCCTGCAATCCACTGGAGATGGCATGCACATGTGGTTTGTCACGGGTACATAACTTTGTGGAGCCAATGAGCGCTCTGAGGGTTGCATGAAGACGTGTGTGCAGATTGCCATATCTCTGTGTTTGTGGTTATGTGCCCATTTTTCTGGGAAAGGATACTACTGCTCATACTAGGTTCTCAGAATGGCCCAAGTCTCAATAAAAAGAAGTTAAAGAACATTATGTGTTTGGAGGGAGTGCATAGTATTTGAAGTCTCACAGTCCATGGTTTAAATCCTGGCTCTGTCACCCAGCAGAAAGTTGAGCTTTGTTAAGTCAGTAACTGCTTTAATTTTCCTGGTGTGTTACACAGATAATCACAATGTTATCATAGGAACCCTATTAAGGGTTATTATGAGAGCCAAAGGGGCTACCACATGCCCAGCACCCAGAAGCTCCTCCCTGATCCCTCTGGAAGCCTGGAGGCAAACAGGGTGCTCCCCATCAATCATGATGCTCCTCATCAATCACGAAGAACAGTGGAGTCTTCATCGGCCTCTTTCTCCAGGGACCTCATGGTTCTCTTCCTAATGCTCACAACCAGGAACAGCAGTTGTGAGTGAATCTTAGAGGCATAATTCTGGCTTTTGTGAGACCTAGTTCTCACCTTTCATAAAAAATGCTCAAATGTGCTCCAGATCCAGGTGAGTCTTTTAGTTCTGATACATATTTCTTTTGGCAGAAGACCAATTACGAAAGAAAGAAACAAAACAATCCAAACGTTGCCAGGTTTGGTGGTATCCTTAATACTTCATTAAAAAAATACACAAAAACAATTTAAAGAAAAAGGT